CTTTTGACTAATGGACCATTTCTTCTCCTTAAATGTTAACACAAGCCTCATGGGTAAAAATAACCTAGAGCACTGATGTTGACAAAGTCTAGCTGAGCTGCCGTGTGAATTGAACTCACAGTTTCAAAGGTGATCAAGCCATTTACAACCTAGAAAATTCCTATTTACTTTTCTCCTTAGGTGCTAGGAAGGATTATTATCCCCAGAGGCTGAGACTGCCTGGCCAATTACACTATGGCTCATCCTCTATTCCCTAATATCTGTGAGATCAGATTAAATTGAATACTATCTACTGAAGGGAAAGAGAAACATCAAAAGCAACCTGAGCAAAGTGAGTTAAAGGCAAGAGGGCCAGTCTGGGGTATTGGTGGTGGGAATTATAATTGATGGCATACACACACACACACACACACATCTTTTTTTTTTTTTAACACAGTTTAATGGAGCTACTACTTACATTAGCTGACCTCCTGAGTCACTGCCCTTTTGGCATAAATATTTCTTTGTTAAAACTAATTTGACTCTTAGGGGCTAAGTGGAATGGGGGGGGAATCTCCCCTATATTTGGGAAACTGACGCTTTTTGTAGACAGCCTAAATGCTGCCTAATTCCCTTTAAGAATTCCAGAAGAACTCTGAGGATGGAGTGAAAATGTGACCTACCTGGTCTTCCAGAGGCAGTGAGGGCCACAGTGGTCAGTGTTACACAATTAACAAGTTTTTTTTTTCATCTTCTCCTCCCTCCCCAACCTGCCCCCTCACTGAGCCAATTTTTAAAAGAAAAGGAAAAAAACAAACCCCAGAGCCCTCAATACATAGACGTACAGTCCAGCAAAACAAACTACCACATAGCTATGTCTGAAAACCCGTGTCTTTTTCTGCATTTTAAATTCATTCTCTCTTTCAGGAACTGAGTGCCCATATTTCATGAACTTCATTCTTTTTGGCTCCTGGTTGACCATGAATTGATCAGACTTCCAAAGTCTTTCAAAGTGTTATATCTCTAGAATGTTATATTTACATAAATTGTTCTAGTTCTGCTCTCTTTGTTCTGCATTAGTTTGTAAAAACCTTCCCAGTTACCTCAGAAACTGTTGATTTCATCATTTCTTGTGGCATAGTATTATTCCGTTGCACTCACATACCACAACTGGTTTAATCATTCCCCACTAGGAGAACATGCCCTTAGTTTCCAAGTTTGGGCTATCATGAAAAATGTTGCTACAAACATTTTTGCATATATGGAACCTTTTTCTCTTTCTTTGATCTCTCTGGGGTATAAGAAAGGAAGTAAGCATTTAAAAAGTGCCTACTATGTACTAGGTAGGGCCTGTGCTAAGCACTTCACAAATATCTCATTTGATCTTTATACCAACCCTGGGAAGCAGGTGCTATTGTCATCCCTCTTTTGCAATTAAGGAAATTGAGGCAGGTAGAGGTTAAGTGGCTTGCCCAAGGTCACAGCTAGGAAGTGTCTGGGGCCACATTTGAACTCAGGTCTTGTTGACTCCAGACCTGCTGTTCTATCCAATGCACCACCAGTCTACCTCCAGGTTTAGCCCTGATAGTAGCAGAACAGCTGCGTCAAAGACCATGCACATTCTGGTAACATGCTGGGCATAGCTCTAAATTACTTTCCAGAATGGCTGGACCGATTCACAGCTCTACCAGCAGCACACTAGGGTCTTCTTTTCCAAAGCCCTTCCAACATCTGTCATTTTCCTCTTTTGTCATTTTTGACAGTCTGATGGGTGTGAGGTGGAACGTCAAAGTTGCTTTAATGTGCATTTCTCTAATCATTACTAGTATTTTTCATATAATTGTTGATAGGTTGGATTTCTTCCTTTGAAATCTGCCTATTCATATTCTTTGATTTATTGGGAAATGGCTCTTAGTTTTATAAATTTAGATCTTAGAAATGAGACCTTTATCAGAGAAACTTGCTGCAAAGATTCCCCCCCCAATTATCTGTATGCCTTCTAATTCTTACTAGATCAGATTTGTTTGTGTAGTAACTCTCTCATTTTATAAATGAGAAAGTTGTGCCCCAGAGGTCAAGTGACTGAGCTACGATCAAAAAGAAGCAGATCTAGAATTTGAACCCAGGCCCTCTAGTTTTATATTAGTTTGCTTTCTAGGGCAGCATATGGCTGGTAGGTGCTGGGAAGAGGGTAGGGATATTTGACCTGGGAGAGCTGGTGAGCTGGCATTATGATCAGGATAGGAACTCTCACAAGAACACAGACTAGGAGGAAAACGGAACAAAAGTACCAGCAAACATTTCCCATTTCTTTGTCTCCAGTGATATACTTATGATTAATTTTAAAATTCAGATCAAATTAGTAAACATTTATTAGGCCTCTACTATGTACAAGACAAAAATACATTAAAATAGTAAAGAGGTATTTTAAAGTAAATAGAATCACAAAGCTTGTTTTCCATTTTTTTTAATGTTGTAATATTTAAACAAACCCTTCAGAAACATTTTTCAATATGACACAATAGAGTCTGTATGTATGTGTGTTTTAAATACAAATTATGAAGAAAAAAACCTAATTATTAGTTCCAAGGAGTCACAGAAAGTCTTTTCAAAAAATTTTATTTACAGTTATAATCCTCCCTCCAACTTCTCCCCCACCTATTGAGTAAGCAAGGAAAATAATAATTATACATACTAAGTCATGCAAAAACTATTTCCACATTAGCTATGTTACAAAAGAAAAAAATGCAAAAATATAAAGTGAAATATGCTTCAGTCTGTATTCAGAATTCATCAGTTCTCTCTCTGGAAGGAGACAGCATTTTTCATCATGATGAACTCTTTGGAATTGTCATGGATTACTATCTTGATCAGAGTAGCTAAGTTTTTTACAGTTGAAGAGTACTACATTATTGCTCTTATATAATGTTCTTCTAGTTCTGCTTACTTCTCTTTGCATCAGTTTGTATAAGACTTCCCAGGTTTTTCTGAAATCATCCCCTTCATCATTTCTTATAGCACAACAGTATTCTATCACAATCATATACCACAACTTGTTCAGCCATTCTTCAGTTGATGGGCAACCCCTCAGTTTCCAATTCTTTGCCATCACAAAAAAGAGCCGCAATAAATATTTTTGTAAATGAGGGTCCTTTTCCTTTCTCTTTGATCTCTTTGGGGTACAGGGCTAGTAATAGTAGTTATTGTTTGTCCTTCATTCTTGAAGAGGACCATGAGATGAGGAAGATGATTCCATGACTTGCAAATGAATTGGATTTAAGTGAGGGAGGGCTGTGCAAAGTCACCAACCTCACTTTCTCCTCCGGAGCCATCTGGGTCCAGTGGCAAGGTGTAGATCAGGAAGACTAGAGATAGCCCCCTGCCTGCTTGAAGAAAGACCTCGAAGATAGGATGCTATCTTGGGCTTCCAAGCCACAGGTCCATGTTACAGATCAAATTTATGACAATGGCTTTTTAGTACTTGTCAATACTCCTGAATGGAGTCTCTGACACTGCCAATGCTTTCTTAAGTGCAGTGTGATGTACAATCAAGAGAAACAGTGGAGAATGCAGAAAATTATATATTTGCTTGGTCAAAGGGTATGTACAGCTGTATAGCCCTTTAGACATTGTTCCAAATTGTTCTTCAGAATGGTTAGACCAGTTCACAACTTCACCAAACATGCATTAGTGTCCCTGCTTTTCCATATCCCTTTCAGCATTGTCACTTTCCTTCTGTGTCATCTTAGCCAATATGATTGGTATGAGGTGGTACCTTAGGGTTGTTTTAATTTGCCTTTCTTTAAGTATTCATGATTTAAAGCATTCTTTTTTTGTATTATCAATTGCTATGATTTCTTTTTCTGAAAAAATATGTGTTCATAAACTTTGTCCATTTATCAATTGGGTAATGACTCTTCTTTTTATAAAGTTGGCTCAGTTCCCTATAAATTTAAGAAATGAGATCTTTATCTGAGAAACTTATAAAATCCCCCCCCATTTCTTGCTTTTCTTCTAATTTTGACTGCATTGGTTTTGTTTGTGCAAATCTTTTTTGACTTAATGTAATCAAAATTATCTAATTTTACCTCCAGTGATCCTCTCTCTCTCTCTCTCTCTCTCTCACTCTCTCTCTCTCTCTCTCTCTCTCTCTCTCTCTCTCTCTCTCTCTCTCTCTCTCTCTCTTTTATTCGGTCATAAATTCTTCCCTTATCCATAGTTCTGACAAAGTATTTTTTCTATGCCCCTTCAATTTGCTTATGATATCATCCTTTATGTCTATCATATACTCATTTTGAGGTTATCTTGGTATATAGCGTGAGATGTCTATACCTAGTTTCTGCTAGACTGCTTTCCAGTTTTCCCAACAGTCTTTGCACAATCACTGAGTTCTTGCCCCAATAGCTTAGATTATTGGGTTTATCAAACACTACGTTACTGTGGTCACTTACTTCTGTGTATTGTATGTCTCATATACTCCATTGATTAACCATTCTATTTCTTATCTACTACCAGATTATTTTGATAATTACTACTTTGTAGTGTAATTTGAAATAAGGTACTGCTTAGGCTTCTGTCCTTGGTTTGTTTTTGTTTTTTTCATTGGCAACCTTTTGGTCCTCCAGGTGAATTTTATTATTTTTCCTAGCTCTATAAAATAATTCTTTGGTAGTTTGATTGGTATGGCACTGAATAAGTACATTAATTTAGATAGTGTTGTCATTTTAGTTATATTGGCTTGCCTTGCCCATGAGCAATTAATGCTTCTCCAGTTGTTTGGATCTGGTTTGATCTGTGCCCCAGAAAGCCTTAAAACAACTGATCAAGGGGAGTGGTGGGCAAAGTACAGGGCCAGGGAGATCATCCCAATTTGCCACACTTTGGCAGCAGTTTTGATGCCATGTGATTAATATAAAATATTAATTGTATTTATTTAGTAAGTTTCTCTGCAGACCACAAACAATTTCATGATTCAGCAAACTTTTTTTAAAGGGCTAACTATGTTCAATACACTCTTCTAGGTTCTGGAGATAAAAAGACCCATACAAAATAAGACTCTGGCCAACAAGCACCTTACATCCTGTTGAGAGTCAAAGGTCCTCTACAGCATGTATACAGAGAGGTAAGTAAAAGATAACTGGAAACAAGTAAGGAGCAGCTAAGGGGATCAAAAAAGGATTCTCATAGGAGGTGGTACCTGAATTGAGCCTCAAAGTTAATAAAGAGAGATTACATTTTAGGCATAGGGTACAGCCAGTTCAAGGACATGGAGACATGCTTCCCATCTCCTGACAGGCATGTGACAGACTTAGGGTATAGCCTGAGATGTATTTTTTGGATATGGCCAATGCAGGAATTTGTTGCGCTTTCCTATGAATATTTGTTACAAGTGATTTGTTTGTTTATTGTTGTTTTGGGAGTGACAGGAATAGATTTTGTTTGATTAAAAAATTAAATTAAAAAATAACAAAAGGAAATGAAAATCGAAAATAGAGTGTTAAGTCTGGGTAACAACAAATAGGTCAAATTTACTGAAACATAGAGTGTGTGAAGGCTAATAATAATGGAAAAGCAGTTGGGAGCCAATCTGTGGAGGGCTTTACATGGCAGGTGGAGAAATTTACATTTCATCCTAGAAGGAGCAGGGAGTCATTGAAAATTTCTTAACAAATACTTTAGGCAGATTAGTCTGTCAGCTATGTTGAGAATGGATTCTAGAGGGGAGAAACTGGAAACAGAAAGGTCAATTAGGAGGGTATTATAATAGATGAGGCATACAATAGATGAGGCAACAGGTGATGGGGGCCTGAATTATGAGAGTAGCCATTTCAGTGGAAAGAAGGGGACTGAGGCAAGAGATACTGTGGGGATAGAATCATAAAGACTTGATAGTTGATTGAATATGGAGGTTAAGGGAGTGCAAAGATATGAGGATTGCTACAAGGTCCTGAAAATGAGTGACTAGAAAAATGCTAGTATCCTCAATAAAAACAGGAAAATTTGGAAGAGAGATAGGTTTAGAAAAGAAATGCATACTACTACCATGGCCATGCTGCTGCTGCTGCTATGTGAGTCTAGGAAGCCTTGCTAGCTCCCTTCTCTCCTCTTGTCCTCTCTTTTCTCTCCTTAAAACTCTCTTTTAGTTTAAAAAATGGTGCCCTCTAGTCCTGTTCTCATGCTAGCTTCTTCTCTTCCAGAGCATGAAGAAATATAACTTTCAGGGTCTTTTGCAATTTAGGCCCTCTGAGAAAAGGACTGTTACACCTATACGTGTACATCCTATCTTCTTCATTAAAGCTTAAGCTCATTGAGGGCAGGAACTGTTTTCACTTGTTAATTTGCATCTCCAGTATTTAGAACAGTGCTTGGCACATAGTAAGCAGTTAATAAATGCTTATTAATTGACTAAAGAGAAGACTCAATAGCATGGGGCAGGGAGGAAGATATATCCAGAAATAAAGATGATTTAAAATAGAAAGCATCAGACTTAAGGAAACATGGTGTGATGGGGGGGGAAGCATTGGTTTAGAGGCATAGGACCTGGATTCAAACCCTGAATCTGCTACATATTACTTTTGTGAACAAATTGCTTAAAATATCTGGACCTCTGTTTCCCCTTTTCTTTTCTTTCGTTTTTTTTGGTGAAGCAGTTGGGGTTAAGTGACTTGCCCAAGGTCACACAGCTAGCAAGTGTTATGTGTCTGAGGCCAGATTCGAACTCAGGTTCTCCTGACTCCAGGGCCAGTACTCTATCCACTGCGCCACCTACCTGCCCCTTGTTTCTCCACTTGTAAGATACATTGTAGCCCAAAGTATGCAAATAAAACATTTTTTTAAAAAAAAGGAAAGAAAGAGAAATTGACCTGAGGTTCTAGAAGCTGAAGACCATATGGCCTGTGGAAAGGTAAGGTTGAGGTACACAGGGATGATCGTATCTAGTTAAGCAGCAGGAGAAATTATTTTCACCTCAACAGACAGAAATTTTGAATCACTAAGATAACGGGGACAGGAAATAGGGATCTTCTGGCTATAGGATAGAGAAAAAGCCAGTTGATCAGACAGTGTCCAGGGTCCTGTGATGACTCATCTTAGAGTTGGTGTGAAGGTGACGAGTTAGTTATATTAATTTAAAAATGAAAATGAAAACTGGCAAACTTCTCCTCTTTAACATTAAGGTTACTTTGGTTTTTTAAATAGAAACAATCCACTTCACACCTAGACCGATTTAAAGCAGAAAGCATCTTTGCTTTCAATTATGTGTAATTTTCATTTCATGTCATCAGTGGGGAACATGTCCCCAAACTGCAATTATGGATATTTGACAGGCCTTTTTTCCCTGATAACCCAAAATCAGAAATTAAATCATTGTACTTCAAAACTAACTCCATGTAATTCATTAATTTATAATTAGAGAAAAATTAATCTCCTGGTCACTGTAAATGTTAAAAGGAGTTCAGAAAGAGGTTGTTCTTTGTAGCATAGACGTTGCCAGCCTTTGAAAAAAATTTTGAGCTGAGATTTAGCTGCAATGTCACTAACATTCTAGGGTTCAAATTAGGTGTTCTAAAGTAACTTGCCTGATTTAATTTGGCTTTAGTTTGATTTTAATGCTCATGCAAATTCTTCTCTATTGTGTCAGGGTGTTTTTTCCCATGACAATTACATTATTATTAATAGGCCTTATTTCAAACTTTAAAGCACTATACCTGTGCAAGGTGTTAATTTCATTATTTTATCCCTATCTGGGATGAAGCGGTAAGCTGTAGTAGAAAGAATGTTAAATTTGGCATTGAGTGCTGAGCTGGAATCTAGGCTTTGCTATCATTCAGTCTTGCTTCAGTCATGTCTGTCTTCCTGTGATCCCATCTGAGGTTTTCTTGGTAAAGATACTGGAGTAGTTTTCCATTCCCTTCTCCAGCAAACAGGATTAAGTAACTTGTCCCAGGTCACACAGCTAGTAAGTGTCTGAGGTCAAATTTGAACTCAGGAACATGAGTCTTTCTAACCTCTGGCCTAGTACTCTATCCACTGCGCCACCTAGCAGCCCATTAACTCTATGACTTTGGGCAAATCGTTTGCCCTCTTTGGACCTCAGTGTCTTCATCCATAAAATTAGGGGTTGAATTAGGTGATCTCCAAGGATCCTATGGATCCTATAACTAAGTTAGGAGCTCAGAGTGGCATGTTAACTCCTGAGGTGGGTAAGCAATATCCATTCAGTGCATTGCTTCTGGTTATTATTAAGGAACATGTGTAAGAAGGAAGAATTTAGCTGCATAATACATATTAAACATGTATACTGTGCTAGATATGTGTTGAGGGCCAGCTCTAAGAGTCCAATCTGGGTTTAAGATCCAGGACAGAGTTTGACTCTTGCCCAGGCTTAACCTACAGGGCTCAGTCATTTAGGAAGCAGGGCTCTCCAAATCTCCCCCTGCAAGGGAGGTTCCTGAGACATTTCTTCTCACTCTTCGAACCTTAGATTTACACATTCACTCCTCTATGCAGGTGGTGCCAAGGCACCTGGGAAAGACTTGGAAAATACAACCCAATCTAGGAACCCTGATAATGAGGAAATGTATGTTGTCACATCCTCAGCAGATGTTTGGGGGAGTATCTCACGGGAAGGACTCTTTGAAGTTAGGCTAGATTTTTTCTATATACCCTGTACCCTCAGATGAATAAACTGAGTCAGTCTTTACTGCTCCGCCTGGCCCACCTCTCACATTTATTTTGAGCCTTCCTGTTTGGTGCACTATCTGTTGCTGGCAACAGGTATGATACACAACAAAGAAAAATATAGCCCTTATTTTCCCAAAGTGAATGCTGTCTCTAGAAGAAAAAAATAATTACAATGAATAAATAAATCATCTTTATTTTCTTCTTGTACAATAGTGTTTTGGTTTTTTTTTCTCTTCAAGGCTGAGATCAAGCATGACCTCTTTTGACATCTTTCCTGATTTCCCCAGCTTTTACTCTCTCTTTCCCCAACAATTATTGTGTATCTCTTTGTATTCAGGGTGTCCCAAAAGTCTTTAAGCTATTAAAGCTTAAAACTGCATTAATGCTTTTAGGACACCCTGAATAAACTACATTTGTTTAATCTCTGAATGGGATGTCTCTCCCCAGTATAAGTATTCTTAATCTTTTTTTTTTCTTTTTTGTGTCATGGATCCCTTTGGAGATCTGGTTTTCAGAATAATGTTTCAAATGCATATAACACAATACATAGGGAAAGGAAACCAAATGTATTGAAAAATAGTTGCCTAAATAAAAAAGAAATAAAATAAAGTTTACAGACCCCAGGATAAGAACCCCTTTTGTATTTGTTTTCCCAGTATCAAGCAAAAAACTACCTAAACCTCCATTTAAAGACAATTCAGGAGCCCAGCCAACTCTCCATTCCTCACCAGTCCAACCTCATTCTTTGGATTGAGTCCACCATCATCATGCCTCCAAGCTGGGTACCTCTCTTCCCCTTCCCCCACCCCCACTACTTACTCCACCTTTTGCAGCTTCCTTTTGTGTGTTGCTTTCCATCATTAGATCATAAACTCCTTCAGGGCCTGGATGATCATTTTTTTACTTAAATGTATCCCCAGCTATTAGCATAATGGCCAGCACATAGTAGGCACTTAACAAATATTTACTGTAGTGTATTGATAAACAAGATATTCGATATGACTCCTGTGATGGCAATGTAAATAAAATGCATCTGAATAAACCTACGATCTTTTGACAAGAAATATGGAGAAAACTTTAAATGAGGGAGAGTAAGATGTCTCAAATTGTTTTAGGCAGAATGTGATATGCTGACCCACATCTAGTCACAAAATTCCTCAGAAATGCAGATTTCAGCAATTTTGAGACATGCCCAGTAAGCCTTTTAAGTTGTAAAAGATATGAAAGAAACAAAATCTCATTCCTTAATATGTATTTTTGTAAAATGTGATTGCCATTTCCCTTACGCATAAAGAATATCACTACATTGGGTTATGGAATGTTTTCATCCATTTTCAAAAAATAATAAGTGTTAGAACGCTGAAGATTGGAAAGTAGACCACACATTGTAGTACCATTACTTTTAGAAAAAATGAAAGATACCTTAGGATTATCCCAAAT